AACCAGAAAATATGGCTGACTTTAGATCTCTCTGGATCAGAGCCAAATTTGATTTGATTTAGAGAAACAGACAGAAATAGCATTTCTTAATACATGGGGGTCATGTTGAAATTTACACCTGTAATAATGGTTTCCTGGAAGACTTGAGTGTGACTCATGTTTCCTGTTCATTGTGAAATTTGGGGTTGTGTGTTGTACCTAGAAAAGAAGACCATACTTCTGTCAAAACAACTTGGTTAAGACCTCCTAGTCCTGAAGATTTGGGCATAAATAGACATCTACTTGATGGCTGTGTCTGTGATGTGGCAAAAGAGGGACTCAGAGGACCTGAGGTACTTATCTTGGAAGTGAGCAAGAGTGAGAAAGCAAGAGGGAGACTGGGGACTGCACCTGGTACCTGAGGGGAGGAATCAAGTTTCTACTCGGGTCAACCGCTGTAGGACAGAGCCACTGTATGCCACTTCCTGTGTGTCACTTCCCATTTCTCATGGGGGTTCAAACTTGGACCTCTGGGTCTGACATCGCTTTTCATCCAGTCCAGCCAAGACCCACTTACTGGAAACTCCATGGAGTGATGGTTCTGGAAAGAGTCAAACATGGCCATCAAACAATTCACTTAATTATTTGGATATAGCGTGGACAGAAATGCCCTTACTTGAGTTAACGTATTTGTTTCCTGCTTACCTGTCCGGTTAGAATCCTGGGTCTTTTCCTCAATTGCTCTGTGACCCTGGGTAAGTAACTTGATCTCTCTGTTCTTCAGTCTTCTCCTGCAGTGGATTGAATTGTGTCCCCCCCAAACTCACTGAAGCTTGAATTATGTCCCCCAAGTTTTATGTATTAGAAATTTAGCCCCCACTGTGACTGTTTAGAGGTGGGAAATCCTATTATGGTAATTGAAAGGTGGAGCCTTAAAGAGGTGATTGGATTGTAGGACCATGTAGTAGTGAATGGATTAAAAATGGTGGTCAGGGGCGTGGATCTGAGGACTTTAAAAGAAGAGGAGAGTCTGTCTTTCTCTCTCTGCTTCCACCATTTTGCATTGTGAGACCCTGGATCACTGTTGCTACCACCAGATGGACTTTGGACTTCCCAGCCTCAGAAACTGTAAGCAATAANAGTAGTGAATGGATTAAAAATGGTGGTCAGGGGCGTGGATCTGAGGACTTTAAAAGAAGAGAGAGTCTGTCTTTCTCTCTCTGCTTCCACCATTCTGCATTGTGAGACCCTGGGTCACTGTTGCTACCACCAGATGGACTTTGGACTTCCCAGCCTCAGAAACTGTAAGCAATAAATTTAACTTTCTTATAAATTACCCAGTTCCAGCTATTTTGTTATAAGCAAAAGAAATGGACTAATATACCTCCTTTATAAAACAAAGTTAAAATAGTATTCATCAATGGATTCTCGTTTATCTCACTGGATAAAATTAGTACGTGAACAGTTTGCTTGGTACATGGAAGTACTCAATCATGTAATCACTATTATTAGTCTTTCACCCGAGTAGGAGAGAGAAATATTTTATCTTACTAGTGATAGAATTCAGAGAAAGAGTTTGAAAAAAGTTATTTTTTTCATCTATAATAGGCCTATTAACTAGAATTACTTCACTAGATACATTCTGGATTGTGCTCATCAAGTAAGGACTGACAGAATATCAAAGATTTTATTTCTGTTCTTTGTTGGTTCAGATTTATCCATTTTTATAATTTAAAGAGTAGATTAAATTGCTTGTTTCCTCACAATGGACGGCCTTTGTGATCTCAATGCCCAGCCTAAATAGGATGGCATCCCCAGCCTTCTGCGCTTCTGCGTGGTCAGATAAAGGCCAAGGTATGTGGTGCCTGCTCCTTCCAGAGGTGTCACCTGTTGCCTGGCGTCTAGAGGACCACCCCAAACAGAAAAGAAATACGTTACTATGCACACAGCTGTTCCTCAAACCCTCCGCTTTTCAATATTGCTAAAAGGTCCATGAGAGATTTCATCGATGGTGTGGTTTTTCACATAGAAATGGTGAAGCCTAAAGGAACAGAAGAGTGCCACTCAATGCACACACGTGCCAGTGAGAGCCTCTGCCTGTGGAGAAGCAGGAGGGAACTGCATTTCTCGTCGTCATCTGGACGGCCTGGTCTGAGGGCCTGGAGGACCACACGAGGTTGGGAGCACAACCTGACCTCAGGCCTGCTGGTTCCAGGGCTCCATCTGGGCTGCGGCCCTCCTGGTCTTCACTTTTCACACCCATTCTCACTCATCTTGACCCTTGTCCTGGAGCCCCCCAGTGCTGGGGCCAGGGTCCCACCAGGCCACACCAGCAAGCCTGGCAAGCTGGCTCCACGTATGGCACTGATCCACTGCGGGTCTCCTCCTTGCATGAAGTGACGGCTGGAGCCCTGGTGACCCAGGAACTCCAAGACCCCTGAGAATGGAGCCACTGTGTAGGCCTCAGGCCCAACCCTTCCACAGAGCAGGGTATTTCCTTTCACATTCAGAACTCGAGGTTTGGGACAGAGGCATGAGCAGGGTGCTGTCAGAGATGGGGCAAGGGTGTGAACCCCCATGAAAATGGGAACAGATCCAAGCTCCCTGGGCTAATGGCGTGTGTGTGTGTGTGTGTGTGTGTGTGTGTGTGTGTGTGAGACCACTTATAGCTCTCCAACCATATGACTTAGGTCACAGCCAGAGGAACCATCTGTCTTCTCAAAGCAGCCAGGCCTCACCCAGCAATCCCAGCACTTCTTTCCAGCTGAAGGAGCAGCCAACAGACACTGGGACCTGCTCCTATTGAGATAGGAAGTGCTCAGTTTCCCTGTGCTTGGGACACACCTCTGGGTTACAAGCCATTCCCCAAGGATTCAGGCTCCTCCCCTAGAGGAAAGTTCCTGTTGCTAGTTAGACCTATTTTGGGCACCAACACAAGGAAATTGAGAACTCAGGGGGCTGGCTTATGCCAATCCAGTGGCTGGGCATGCTTATATAACCCTAGTAGCTGATGACCTTCCACTAGGGGTGCTAAAGAGCACAGAATGTTCTTGAATGTCTGGTGCATGTGATAGGATTTGGCCAATGAACATGCTCCAAAAAGGAGACCAATTGAGCATGTGCAAGACTATGTTACATAACTGGGGGCCACCCCCTTAACTGAATATTCATTAGCAAAACTATAAAAGCCGAATCCCAGCAGAAGGCAGGGCTGTTGTCCACCTTCCTAGAGCCAGCCCCTGTTCTACCTGTGGAGTGTGTATTTCTTTGTTTGTTGCAAACTTACTTTTAGCAAGTGGCTGCTCACTCTCTTGAGCCAGCCTGCACTTTGTGCTAAACTTAAGTATGTATTGCTTACTTTTGTATTAAACTTGGTGTGGGCCCTGCTCAGTCTCTGGAGCTACGCTGCAGTCTCTCTGTGGAACCTGTATCTCTTATCTGTTACATTAAACCTGTTCTCACTTTCTACTGTGACTCTGCTCTTGAATTCTTTCCTGTGGCGGAGTCAAGAACCTGGTAAGAGGACAGGGTGGGTTGAGACCTGCTATCGGGCTCCCCAGACCCTTCCTCCGGCATCACCATGGCAGCTGGAACCAGCAAACCCAGAAAAAAAGCCAGTGAAACCCCGCGGGGGACCTTGGGGACAAGCGCTCCTAACTGTGCTTCTTGCAATGCCTAGAAAGCCACGCCACCAAGCCTGCTTTGCTTTGTTTTTTCTTCTCACTCTTGTTTTGTTACCCAGGGGGACCCATTGCTCACAGGTAGAAAATGACGTTGTCCTTATTTTGCGATTTATGGCAACTATCTTTTTTCTGAGGACACCCCTTCCCTCCCGCCCTGCCTCTGAGTTGAAGCTGGGACACAGTGCCTGCTTTTTGTGGTGGTAACTCAAGCATCTTTTGGATGAATTTTAGTTCCACCGTCCTCTGATTTTCTCATCATGCATTGGTGGTAACCAGGCCCCGGGCATCAGGACTCAGTGGTGCTTGTCATCCGCTCGACCCTGAGCCCCGACAGGCTCTGACTATGATCACCAGCACCTTGGCACACAGAATAACAGTCTGGAAACTGAAACAAAAACTGCCCATTTCATAAGCAACCACGTCCAAAAGGTTTATTCCTGTATCACAAACGAACCCTGCTGACCAAACTCCCGAGTTACTGTTCATAAGCTGCTATTAAGTCACCCACATAAATACGTGTAATAAATACAAAAACAGAAAGCACTTTTTTTGAGTCTTTGGTATATAGAGCTTTATCCTCTTCTTATTTCCCCCTCCTTCCCTGTGTCCTAAGAAGATTTCCCCCGTTCACATTATTTCCTTGGATACAAAAATAGAAGTAAACTGTGTGCCGGACCCCTGCATCAATCAAGTCTCTCAGGGGCCCAGCAGCCCTGAAGTGGCCCTCAGGGAGCAACAGGCCCTGGGGACTCACACATAGTCATTCAGTCTGTACCCGCTGTGCGAGGCTGAGGTCACCGAGGGGGCCCGGTTGTCCTTGTAAGCAGCCGGCGGCTGGTAGGCAGGCGCGGCAGGTGCGGTGGCCGCAGTGGCCGTGGCACCCCTGGGCTGGGCCGGGTAGGGCCTGTAGGGTGCGTCATCCTGGCAGGACAGGCAGAGCAGCGTGCCACCAATGAGCGAGAGGGACGAGGAGATGAAGCCCAGGTACAGGGCCTGGCCGATCTCGAACTTCATGCCGCTGGGCAGCAGTGGGTTGTAGAAGTTTGCCACCACGTCGTTGGTGGTCCAGGACACAGCCACCATGCAGAGGAGGCCGGCCAGGATGAAGAGGGCGCCCCCAAGGATGGCAAAGGTGGTCTTGGCAGGTGTGCCCTTGGCGCACCGTGTGCACTTCATGCCGATGACAGCGCAGGCGCAGGCGATGCCCGAGAGCAGGCAGGAGATGACCATGAGCGCCCGGGCAGCCTGCAGGTCACGTGGCAGTGCCAGCAGGGACCGGTAGATCTGGCACTGGTAGATGCCGGTGCTGTGCCACACGCACTCCATCCAGAGCCCCTTCAGGTAGGACACGGCCGTCAGGATGTTGGTGCCCACGTGCGCCGTCCTGCGCCAGTGCGGCAGGACGGTGGTGATCAGCGTGCCCACCAGGCCCAGGAAGCTGAGCAGGAAGCCCAGGAGCTGCACGGCCATGCTGGCCATGGCCACGCCACCGGCCTAGCCCTGCCGGGCACGACCCTGGTCCCTTGGAGTGGCGCCGCTCCTCAGGCACCTGCAGGAGCCCTAATAAAGCCGAGGGAGGCGAGAGCAGGGAGAGAAAGGAAACAGGTTAAATATTATCTTGATGCATTTATTTCTGTCACCGAAACTGGATTTTTCATAGGCAGTTGGTGTGACAATTAACATACTTAAAAAATAGTTTCTGAGAATTCACTGGGTGGGAGAATAAGCTGCTCTCCCTGGAAGGCCAGAGCTGGGGGGTGACAGCAGGAATCTGGGCAGCCTGCATGTCCCACGGACCCCGGGGAAGGGCGCTGCAGAGCCCCCATCTCTGGTTTCTCCCGGCACTTCCCAGCCTCGCGTGGGGCGTCCTCCCTCACATGCACCCTCAGACACCCCTGCATTTGGATCTCACCTCCTTCTGTTCGCTCAAATCAATAATAGCAGTCGTTGAATCGACAAATGCCGTTCGTGCCCGCATGGACTGCTAAGTGTTAAGGTGTGTGCCGGTTAGGACTTAGGAAATAGCCTCGGTTTGTTTTGTTTGTTTTGGTGGCCGGCCAGTTCAGAGATCCGAACCCATGACCTTGGTGTTATAAGGCTGCGCTCTAAAGGGCTGCCCATCAGGAGGAAGCATTTTCTGAAGGGGCGGCTGACTTCCCCACGCCCTCAGGTAGTGAGAGGCTTAGGCTTAGAGGCAGGTCAGACGCAGCCTTCAGAATTCCAGAGCTCGATGTGACCTAGAGATTGTCCCCAAGGGGCAGGATTGCCAAGGTCACCAGCTCCTTAGGTGCTGCGGCCAGGACCACAGGCCAGCGTCCCCCCACGCCCACACCACTCTGCCCGTTCTTGCGCACCCAGCTTGCCATAGCGAGGACCTTCAGAGGGGCGGTTTTGTTACGAAACAAGGGCTGCTACCTGGCTTTCCGAGATACGAGGATAAATAGGTCATTTCCAAGGTTTAATATAAATTCTAAGATAGCAAAATCCAGAACACTTCTTGGGAGCGAGGACCCAGCACCTAGCTAGTGCCTGGCATGTAGGGGACACTGAGAAAACATTGGAAAAGGGAGGAAGGAGGAAGGCAGGAGAGAGGGAGGGAGGGACAGTGCAAGTCCCCAAGTGGACCCCGCTAGCTCTTCTCTTCCGCCTGGGAGAGGTAATGAGAGAAGACAGAGAGTCAGGAATCCTGGGGAGTCCGGGGCCCTGGCGCTGCCCCCACCTGTTAGGCGACGTGGAGCCTCTTTCTGGGGCTCAGCTTCCTCCTTTTAAAGTGAGGGAGCCGCAATTCATTATGGCCCTCAAGTGTCTTCTTTTTCTGGAGGTGGAAAGGGATCCGTCTCTGCTGTTGACAAGTCACATCAGCATCCTAAACCAGCGAAGCATCCAGGAGGCAAACCCACCTCTCCCGCCCTCCTCAGAGTGGAGGAATGTGCTGGAATTAAGCACACAGAGGTTACTGGCCATCTCCAAGGCCACAGACAGTCTGAGGTCCCACAGCCTTCTGCTCTTTAATCCTGAGGATGCTGTTATGACATCCCTACCAGATGTAAATCACAACGAGGGACTTGGTTAGCGACTTGTAACTGATGCTCTCCCGGGGGCCTATGCCATCACCTTGCTGGATTTAAAGACATGCTGGGCTTCAATGTCTTAGCATTGTAGGAGGTGATCAGTAGATCTGTCCTTGTGAATAAAAAACCTAAAATAAATAAAAACAAAGCAACACGGTGCCTCACAGAACGTGCAGTGGACTGGAGGGGTGTCCAGGCGAGGTTTTCCTGCTGACATTTTACATGTTATATGTCCATGGCCGGATTTTCTTTTCACACATTCCGTGCTGGATTTGCCACCCGCTCCTAGTCGCGATGCCGGCCTTCGTTAGGCCCCGCGTGAAGTCTTTCTTCCCTTCACTCAGCTCTGTCCAGGGGCCGGGGACACTGTCACAGCCCCTGCTGCATCCTTCCTGTGGTCCCTGCCATGGACAAGGTGGGCCCATGAGGGGGTGTTGCTTGCTGGTGCTGGCACCAAGACCAGGGTGGCCGCTCTGATATGCCTGGCCTGGGCTGGGGCCGGCAGACCTCCAGACCTCCCCAGTACCCTGAGCACCCACACAGAGCCATACCGATTTCCTGGGCCTGAGCACTGTAAAGACTGACATATGTGCCCCAGTCTACTCCCGAATGGGGAAGAACCGAATGAGGCAGCGACTGTTCACATCTCTGTTTTCACATGGGGAAACTGGGGATGTGCTGGGGTGAAAGCTGCATGCCTGGCCGGGCTGGTGCTGTCCCCAGTTTCATTCCTCCTCTAAACGCTTCCTTCGTCAATTAAATAGGACCTAAGTGAGTGTGAGGGCTTTGGGGTGGGAACATCAGCAGATTCTGCAGCTTGAATCTTCTCCACAAAGATCTCACAGAACACTGGCCTAGATCTTTCTGCAGTGCTTTAGGTAGCCAGGATGACCAACTGTCCTGCTTTGCTGGGGACTGAAGGTTTGCCCAAGCAAACCAGGGTAGTTGTTTCTTCCTGGGGTTACGACTTCTTCAACTAGCTTCTGATATCCCTCCCGATCCTGCCTCCAGGCAGATGGCCGCACAGGCTGTCACTGGTCCAGGGCATCCAGGGGCTTCTCACAGCTCTGGCTTGTCAAGGTCAGTCATTAAGTATACTGATCCTAAAGAATGTGACATAAAAGTTAAGCCTCCTTGACCCCATTAGGCTAGGCAAGTGGACCAGAAGTTTATTGGCGTCTAAATATTTATGGAGAGCAATGATGGCTAATGTTAGAAACCATTAGTTTGCTATTTTTAAACATGTGCTAAAAGGAATTGCTAATTTTAGAAGTGAGTGTTAATGAGCCCCCAACTCCCAGAGGCCAGCTCCTCACCCCTCTCCCCTTCCTTACAGCAGCTGCTCCTGCCATTAGGTAATAATTCAACTCCCAACAGCCACTTTTCACTTTGGGGCCATTCTACGGAAAAACAACTTTAACTGAGCATGTCTCCCTGGAAACCACATAAAACTCCTCCCTGATGATCTGGAAGGGCCCAGCCCACAGGGCTGTGCAGGAAGGAGCTGGCCTAAGCCCCACCTCCCAGGAGCAGGGGAGTGTGCAGGGCTGACTGGCCATGGGGAAGACCTTCACTGGGATTCAACTGTGGGCTACCCTTTTCCTGCAGACCCATGTGTGCGTGCGGAAACATTTGCTGGAGAGATTTGGGTCCAGAACAAGCATGCTTCCAAGCATGAGTTCCAAAAAGACCTGGACAATCTGGGTGGGTGGAGCTGAATCTAACAAGATGAAGCGTTCCAGGAATAAATGTTGAGTCTTGCATTTGGGTTTAGAAAGCCTCCAAAGCACAATCCTGGCTGGGCAGTATGTGGCTTAGCTGCAGCGTGAGCAGAATTCAGGGCAGGGTTTCCCAATAGATGCTTCTTAGAATGCTGCATTTGCAGGCTGTCTTGTGTTGAGGACATAAACGTCAAGTCTGAGAAAAGTTGGGTGACCAAGGGACTTCTGGTAGCTCGTAATATGCAAACATCCATTGTGACTCTCCCAGAAAAGGTCTTGTGTGGCATTTTCCAAACTTGTTTGACTAGAGACACCTGCTTCCCCACCGCCTTTTCCAAAGAACGACTTGAAGTAAAATCACTGTGGCAAAATCACCTGGATTTAGACTCTCTTGAAAGTTTAATGCAGGTAATGGCGAGATGGGGTCGATAACAGAAGAAAATATAATTTTCGGGAGGGCAAATGATCACCAATAGGAGAGCCAGCAGGATGCTCTGACTCATCTTCAGCAGAGTGTCAGAAAACCCCAGGGCTGAAAAGTCAGGTGAGAACCTGTGAAGGGCCGCTGATAAAGCACCAGAGCCGCTGCCAGCCCCGCAAACTGCTAGATCTGGTTTTATGAGCACCAGCTCTCTGACTGGTGAAGGTGGTTTTCTTGCCCATATAAGCTTTTATGTTGTCTCCTTCCTCTGTTGTCTGTGAGCTACATTTTTTTTTTATTTTAAAGAAAGAATTTTTTTAAAAAGGCAGGTGCCCACGGCATGCAGTGGGCTTCCCATGCGTTGCTCCCCTCCTGGCCTGCCTGCGCCCCCGCCTGCCTGCACTCCAGCTGTGTCAACTTTGGAGATTCCTCTCCAAATTAAGTGTCATTTCAACAGCTATGGCCAGCAGGGGCAACCTGGCCAGGACTAAGGGACCAGTGTGCTGTTTGCCCAGTACCTGCTTCTGCCTCTGGCTGCCCAGTGTCCTGGGCACATGTGTTTCCTTCTTCACTTCATCCCATCTTCTGAAATCCTTTCTCCCGCTCTGTGGGGCATTGGCTCAGGCTTCTTGGAGGGTCACAGATGCAGGGCCGGGGGATGTCCGAGTCCCATGCTCTCCATGCACCTGTCACCTCATTCCTTGCAAAGCCAGCCCCTAGTATGAAAGCTTTCCTATGGACTCACATGGCTTCTTGGCCCCTTCCCACCCACACAGGTGAAAGAACTATCAGCCCCAGGTTGCATGTGGGGAAGTGGGCACGAGCCAGGTGTGTTAGAAGTTTCTTTACCCAGAAATGCCCCGGGCACTACTGTTCAGGTGAAGAGTTGGATGCTTTGGCCAGCTTTGGCCTGCTGTGTCGTGTGAGTGGATTTAGAGCTATCTGGCAATGAGCCACCATACACGCGTCTGCCCCCATATGCTCCTGACACGGTGTCAGGTCTGTTATAGAGACAGCTTGAAACTCGATTTGCTTCATATGACTTGATCGGAGAAGAATGAACAGCCACCTTTAAATGAACATGATTGTTAGCCCTTGAAGGAATACAGAGTTGCTTCAGCTGTGATGTTCAGCTATTTAAGAAAACGTCTGGTTCAAAAACCTGAATGTCACCTCAACCAAACTGGCTCTTTATTATTGTTTAGATATTTTGTAAGCGCTCAAATCTGGGACTAAGAATAAGCTCAAGGGAAAGATGGATTCATC